TGCTAAGGTTATTATCATTCCATGATAAATTTTGAGATTTTCAATTTTTAGTGGATTCGAAATTGCTACTGATTTCTGACTTACATTTATAGGTTCGATTTGTCTATATATCTCGATGAGAGCATCACCGTGTTCCCAATCGCTTGTATGAAAGGCCAGGACTAAATTAAATGCAAGAATGAGGCAGGAGCTAGGAGGACCAGCAGCTGATCGTCTTTCCTCGGTCAATTGAGGGGGTCCCCTGCATCCCCAGAAAAATTGGATTTGTTGGGGATAGACAAGGAGACAGCACAAGAGAAACCAAGCCCACTGGTCTAATTTGGCATTTTTTTTTTCAAACGATAGATTTGTTAGTTTAGATGTTAAATTAGAGAATTGACGGAGTTCGAATTCACATGATGATGCAGGGGCAACACTACGTACATCTAATAGAGGCTGCAATTGCAAGAGGTTTGTCAGTGGTGTCTTGATAATTTCTTACATAAGTAGACTGTAGAGACTACACCTTCTGCCATCACTTGCAAGCTTGGAACCCTAATTTCACCGACACCAATTTCTGCCCTAGAGGATTAGCTTTCTGCAGAAGTTGACATCCCTGTCCAGGTTTAGTTTAGAACACCTCATTTAAGTGCTGCCCAAACACGCCCTATCTTAAGCACGTCAACGCCCTAAAATCAAAATAATTGTGTTTTAAATTTCTAGACAAGTTACCCCTTATAAAAGATATCAAACAGGTTATATGCCATTTTAAATTCTTCCATTCATTCCCCTGTCAATATCGACCTAGAACTAACTGTGATATACAATCTGGCCTTGTAATATGCAGTAAAACGGTGGTACTACTGCGCAACGTACATATTGGTGTACTATAACATAAATCAATCGTTTATTAACGAAAATTATTGAATGTATTATTATGGCCTTGTGCTCCACAACCATTGTCTTCTTTCTTCGTATAACAATAAGTAGAGGTATTAAAATGGTGCGCCAGCACGAGCACAGCACATGCCCACTTAAACCAGGCACAACACTATCATGTTCACTTAAATAAGGCATGACACAACACGATTTGTAAGAAGTGGGTAGACCAAACCTAAGATTTAGACCCAATGGGCTGAGCACGGCTTGCTGCCCTGACCCATTATAAATAATCTCATTTCTTCATTATTTTTGAATTGCAAACATACATTTTAAGGTAAGAATTAATGTTAGTGATATTTAGCTTAATAACATGTTCAAATAAGTTTTTTTTTTTTTAAATAAAGCTAGCATATGGGCACACACAAAGTGTGTGAGAAATTTTTTTATTTTTGTTTTTGAAATAGAAGGAGTGAGGAAAAGAGTGATAGAGAATGTGGGAGTGAGAAGTTACATTTCTGCCCCATATTTCTAATTTATGTTCTGTTTTAATTAGAAGGTTAAATTAGTAATTTCATAATATTTTAGTTTGTTTTATTAATTAGTAGAGATAAAATAACTAAAGTTTGTTTTGTCGAAGTTAGCCTGTTTGGAGACCCGGCCCAAGTCTTAATCGGCTAGGGCTAGAACTGAGCTGGACTTAATATTTTATTAGGTAAGTCGGCCGATTTGTTTATTAAGTGGGCCGTTCCAAGCACTACTCAAGCCCATATGGGCCGACTTTACGGTTCTGCCAGGCCCGTTTGACACCTCTAGCTATAGGTATACAATGAGGCTACAATCATCACATCATTGAAATCATATCACACGGTACCGGTTGTTCTTTAATATACTAATATATTAGATAATCATTGATATCAAGGCATGCCTTCTGTAACGATGTAAAGGTAGTCTCACATTGGTAAAATGAGAAATTTTGTAAGAGCTTCTAAGATGTTGGGTTACTTTCTATATTGTCAATTAGTTTTATAGTGGAACCTTAACTTTTTTAATAATATCAAAGCCAGGTTGGCCCATGTGTGAAGTTCAACAACCACATGTGTTCCACGTCACTCAATTCGAAAATTTGCCATACGCGAGAGGGTATGTGAGGATGTGAAAGTAAAAGAGTCTCACAATGGTGTAAAAAGAAACTTTGTAAAGATTTATAAGAGGTTAGACTACTCACCAAATCATTTTCAATCTAGACAACATGTAATGTGCATGCAGCTTCTCCACTATAGATATACAAACTCAGGACCACCATCACCATGCATGTTGGCGTCGTCACTTTCCTATCTACTTTTCAGTACATGTACATGGCATGGATATATATCATAATCAAGGCTTCAAAGTACCATCTTGGAGGCAAGTTTAGATCGTGATCCGTGCTTGCCGATCAGCAAATATTAATTGGGACCAGTAGCACCACCACCACCACCACAGAAAATCACTTTTAACCTCTTTCATGCATTCGTAACCTCATTAATGTATTCTTACAACAATTTGCGATGTTTCATGTCGGGACTAACATTGATATTTTTGGAATGCCACGATACAAGAGTTAGCGTGTCATGTGATGTATATTTTTCTAACACTTTGACATGCTATCCCTCGCATCATGGCACGCCAAAAACATCATTGTTAGCCCCGACACTGGCCTCGCTTCTAAATTATTCCGAAATAGTGGGCAAAATGTTGGCAAAATGCATGTAAAAATGAGGATATAGGAAAGAGTAGACCCCGAAACCTTAAATTACTTTTTTGGAAATTACTACAACAAAGTAGGCAATTATATATGAAGGTCAGTGATGCATCTAAAAGCTTGCAAAGGTTATTACCGGTAAGATCATGTAGAAATTTTCAACTCTACTAATGAACGTGTTGTTACCGGTAATAACACGTTCATATATGACTACCGTCCTATTTTGTACAAATTTCTATAAAAATAATTTAGGCCCCAAGATCTACTATTTCCTAGATCTTTTTTTTTTAATTATCCGAAATAGTAGGCAAAGTGTTAGAAAAATGCATGTCATAACAAGCCTCGCGAGTTGTTGCCAGAATGCAGGGTATGACTTGTTTTAACACCCTAACCCTCCTATCGTGGCACGTCATAACAAGTCTTGCAAATTTTTGAGAGAATGCATAGCGTAGCATGACATGCATTATGCTAACAATTCACGACGCTTGTCATGTGGGGGCCAATATCAATGTTTTGGCGTGTCACGATGCAAGAGTTAGCATGTCATGCCATACATTTTTCTAATACTTTGACACACTAACCCTTACATCGTGACACGCCAAAACATCGATGTTGGCATGCGATGGCATGTCACATGTCTTGACAAGCCATGATTTGTCTAACCCTCTTAGCGTGGCACACCATAAAAAACATCGCAAATTGTCGACGTAAACAAATGCACGTATATAAAAATGAAGAGAAATGGTAAGAAGAATCTCTCAAAAATGAGACTCTTCATGACCTCTCATGTTTTTGACACAATATTTTATAATGTTGGCACGAAAATTAATACCAAACTATAAGGTGCTAGAGAATCCATAGGGACTCTGATCAATTTGAGAGAGTCTTCTTAGCATTTTTTTTATAAATTAAAGTGAGACAAGCCGAATTTCATCCTACTAGTCAGTTATGTGATGTACTAAAATCCCAAAACCCTAAACCAAGAACCCTAGAACTCGGAGAAAATTTTGCAAAGTAGCCAAATTTTGAATATCTTAAAGAATTTTAGTAATTCTTTTCAACTTTTAGAGCTGACCACTTAATGTGAGTTCAAACATTGTTCGAGAGGCCTCAACACTGAACATATTTCTGAATCTTAGAAAAAAAGGTCGTACCAGTGCACAAGGCTCCCGCTTTACGCAGGGTCTGGGAGAGGTGAATGTCGGCTAGCCTTTCCCCCATTTATGGAGAGGCTGCTCCCAAATTTCTGAATCTTAGAAAAGGGAGCTAAAAGCCCCTATGTGCTTAAAAAAGCTAGTTTTCCAAATTGCCCCTAGATAATTAACAGCACTCAGTTTCTCATATCCCGTCATAAAATAAGAAATTAGCAAGTCCATTTTCCATCTTAATTTCGCTCTCATCAGATTTGAATATATACCAAAGGGAAAGCTGGCGAAGATGTAGATCATGAATTGGCCAGCTTTTGAAGGAGTGCGATACCAGTTGTCTGCCACTAAAGTCTAGAATATCATATCTACAGATACTGAATATTACGGTGACAACAACATAAATTTCATCTAATTATTAGCTAGCTAGTTTAACAGCATATTTCAAATTAACAAGACGAATTTTCAAACTTAGTTAATTATCTGCATATGCAACATGCACGCATAAAGTCAAAGAATCTCTCCACTGATCTCTCAGAGGTAGATATGCTAGAGAGAGAGAGAGAGAGAGAGAGAGAGAGAGAGAGAGAGAGAGATTAATATGAACTAGCGCATTGTATTTCTACGGCTTGGTCAATTCAATACACATTCATTCACCTTATCTTAGTTATTCGCATGTGAAATCTTCATCACGGACGTACGTGCGTAAAGAATCTCCACTACCTCTCTCTCTCTCTCTCTCTCTCTCTCTCTCTCTCTCTCTCTCTCTCTCTCTCTCTCCCTCCCATCCAAGTAGTACTATATATATATTGGGAGAATAAACAGTTCCGCTACAGCCAGCATACTATAGTCCAAGGGCATAAATCCCACGTACCTTCAAATCCATATAATTGTTGTCTCCCGTAGAATAATTTCAAGATATGAAAACTATGGTTTTGATCACTCGACCCATCTACTCTTCTTGGGGTTCACATTAGTTTCCACAAAACCTTACTCAATCTCAATGGTAGCTAGCCTAAATGCATGCTCACTACAACAACAACAACTGAGAATATATAGTTACTGAAATTAGTTGTTTAGGGCATATCAATAGCTAATGAGGTTATTGGCCACGATATTAGGCGTTTTACCCACCCCATACTCTGTACAGCTAACCTTATCCTTAGTAGCTATCGTGAAACATCATGTCAAACAGTATCATGTCATACAGTATAGATTCAGATTTTAATGTGAATGGTTTGAAAATATCAGCATTCTTCCAAAACATAATTTCAAATTCAAAACCAGCTAATGATATCATCAACTACAAAGTACAAATTAAGTTGAAACGTACATCATATAAATGAAAAACCAACATATATTACCCACCTTGCAACAACAATTGTCTCCCATCTCTTGTATACCATTATACCAAATTAACCCCATGTTTCCCCTCTAAACACACCATCCCCATGAACAAAAGAAGAAAAACAAAATTAGTTCCTTCTGATCATATATAAAGTAAACCCACCAACCCCAACCTAGCTAATTATAACCAATACATATGAGATTTAGGAAACATTGTCATGCACATATATACACATACCAAATAAACACACCAACTTACTGGACTAGAGAGGGAGGTGTTTGCACCAATGGAGGAGACTTCAGCTCTGTGTAGAAGATGTTGATTACGATTATGATCATGATGATCGTTGATAGTACTCGAGGCAGTGAGACGAAGAAGATCCGAGGTTCCTCTCAGCGCAATTTACGGGGGATTCTCAACCCTTGATTAATAAAACTTATCAAGAAGCCGATTCTCTTATTGCTGCTGACATGATCACTCCGATCCCAGCTCCTGCCATCTTCTTTCCAATACTGTACCCTTGAACTTTCTTTTACAAGTTTTTCCAATTTTTTTCTAGTTTTTTTTTTCTTGAGCTTTCTAAAACCACACACCAATTCACTAAAAACCAATAACCAACCAACTAATAAAAACCTAAAAATGACTCTAATTAAGGAAAAAGGAGGTTTTGAGATCGAAAAATAACGTTGACGATAAAGTTGGGTTTTGCTAGATCAGTGAAGAGACTGAGGACCCAAGATTTGCCGGATCATGCCAATTAGAACCGAGAGTCGATGAGTTCCAGTAAAGAGTAGGATCTGAGAGCCCCATCTGCTCCGTGATCTGATTCTGGCAATTCATATTACCATTCACATTACTGCTGCCATTGTTATTATTCCACTCTAACCTGTTTTGGCCACCATGATCTTCTACTTTCACGTCTTTCGAGGCACTACCAGCCTCACCGTTGCTTCCGGCCGCTATTTGAAGATCTTCAAATGGTAGCAAGGACTGGAAGTATTGATTATGCTGATGAGGCCCTCTAGTTTGAATATCTTTGAAAGCACCGCCATTGATGAATTTAGAAGCAAGCACAGAAGCCACAGTTGGAGCTGTGGTGGATGGGGAAGTACTAAACATGGAACTATAATTGGAAGGAAGCGATGAATTTGAAGCGGGATTAAACCGGTTTCGATAATTATCACTGGACATCATATTAGTACCTGACGATGATGAAAACCTATCCCGCTGACCGATATTCAATGATGAAATAACCTGAAAGTATCCATAAAAGGTTACAGACAAATAAAGAGCGGATTATTTGTCGAGTGGACGGGTGTTGGGTTGAATTTTATTAACAGCAGCAGTAGTGCTAGGAACTGAAGAGGAAGAAGACGGAGTTCCACCATCCATGGCTGATGATGTTGAAGATGTCGAGCCAGGCCTCTTCACGCGCTTGTTCTTTCGGCATCCTCCACCGACTGGAACGTTGCGGAGGGTCCCACCTCGGGTCCAGTAGCGCTTGCAGGCCTTGCAGAAGTGCCTCGGCTGAGACAAGCTGTAGTTGTTGTAGTAACAGAACTTGGTGTTTGACGAATCGCAGCGAGGGCACTTTAGGGCTTGCTGTTGGAGCTGGAGTTGTTCTTGACCTGGTTTCTCCATTATCCGATTCGCCGACGACGACGTCGATGAAGACATAGCGTTATTGTTGTTGTTCAAGCCCCTTTGATGATCTATATCATCGATTTGAATATCCTGCTGCATCTACAAAGATCGAAGGGAAAGGAAGGAAAAGGGAAAGAAAGAAAGAAGGTTAAGGCGGTGGTGCTAGGGTAAAAATAACTACATCACAGGAGAAATATTCTGTTCCAAGAGCTAAGCAACAAAAGTTGTGTCATGGTTTGTCTAATAATTGAAATCTAGAGAGAGAGAGAGAGAGAAGGGAACCTGTGGCCATTCGTTAGTAGTTGAAGAGATGAGTAGAGCCATCTTCTCATGATCACAGTTGCTCAACATGTTTTTTTCTCTTTGAGAAGGGAATCGTTGAAACGATGAGTAAGAGGACAAAGAGCAGGTGGCGACATGAGTCTTTCTTGATGGAGTTGAAACATTATGACTATGAGAGAGAGGGAGAAGGAAGGTATGTTTTTGTACAACATTTTCATACCATGACATTGATGTAGACAACCACATCATTTGAATTAATCAGATTTTTAATTTAGTTCATTATTTAATAAACTAATAATTAAGAAAAACTAGTTAATTAAATGATTATTATGGTATACGAAGAGTCTTTCTCCTTCATTTCTTTGGGTTTTGTAAATTTTTCAAATGATGTGGTTGTCCATATTAGATTACCTAAGATGCTATAAAAATATGATATGAATAACATTACTTGATTAATATTAGATGAGAATTGGTTAAATAATTGTAATTAGTTATTAAGGGTTAATTACTTTGAATCTAATTTCACGTGATGGTTGTGGTATAAAATCGGTTTTGAATATTATAATTGGAATTAAAGGATGGGAAAGAATATTGAGGACATTCGAAATCCGAGAAGCGGACAGGAAGGTAATGTGACATTGGAGATGAATATTTGGGAGGTTCAAGAAAGAGAGAGAATTTTACTAAGGAATTGAAGCTAATCACGATTAAATAACACATTCCTATGATTAACAACATACATTCCTTTAATTTGCATAGAGATAGCAGCAAACTAGATAAAGAGTAGAGGGAGTCCCTAGAGCTCCAGTATCCGATGCGGTCTTCGTAGCAAAATCTCACTTCCTCTTTCTTGCTTTTCTTTTACTTTGTTTATTTGATAAAGTTAAGTATGAATATGTATACTATAGTACAAACGAGAAATGCTAAGGAGATGGTTTTAAAAATGAGACTTTCATGCATTTTCTATCATCTTACAATTTAACAATTTTCATGCTAATATTATAAAATATTATGTTAAAAATATAAAATAACATAGAGTTCCACTTTTAAACGAATCCCCTTAACATTTCTCAGTACATATATGACCCTCAGCTCCCATGTATCAACATGTTACTTTCCACTACAATAATCTAATAATAATCCAAACTGAGTTGTGTAATTATTAATTTGATGGGACATCATATTGTGGAAAATGATTTCTCTTCAATAGCAGCTTATAAAAAGTGGATGAAAACGAGCTTACAAATATGTTAATCATGGACAAGCATCTCTCCTGAGCAATTCCCTAGGGATCCCAGGGATCCCGCAATCTTGTCCGTTCATCGTATATCGTGTGGTCAAAAAAATCATTTAAATTTTAAATTTTAAAATTCAAATATGAATAGTACCTAACGAAAACTGACCGCACGATATAAAATGAACGGACAAGATTGCGGGATCCCTAGGGAATTGCTCAGGAGAGGATCCTGGTCCGTTAATCATCTTGCTAATTATGGAAAGTAGCAAGTGGTATTTGTACTAGTAATGCTAGATAGTCTAAACTTGTAGATTAAATTTGCAAACAAAATGATGTGTCACCAATAGGAATGAGCACGTTTATCAACACTTTCAATTATCAACTTCTATGTAATTTAGTTTACAAAATTTAGTTTATAAATTAAGTAGCCCTAGCATTACCTTTATATTAATTGTATTTTTTTTCTTCAATTTATAGGTCTTTTGCATGAATAAATTGTTGACCATAATCCGTAAATTGCGCTGTAAAAATCAACATAATCAGTTGTTCGGATTAACAGTCTAACAACCCTAACTAATATCCTATGTTGTCTTCTCTAACTTGTGGAGGCATGTAGTGAACTAAACTAATGGTAGGTAGGGTTGGAGATTATATGCAAAATAAAGGAGGATTATATAATAAGCACAACATATGTATAGGAGGAGAAATTTTTAGTTGTAATAGGAACACAGATGGTACACCACGTGTTTTTATGTAAGTGATGAAATTTTTTAATTTTTAAGTTATTAACCTTTTAACACACATAACTCACCATTTATATAAGGACATATGATGTACCACTTCGTGTGACGGTCACATTGAAAAATCTATCGTATAGGAGGAAAATATTCATACCAAATAGGAATTAGTGGAAACTCCAAAAAGAAAAAGACAAGAGGGCACCATGTGGCGGTCTACATCCCAGAGACTACTGAAAACACAGACCAAAGACCACCACGCTTTATTACCGAGAAAAATAAAAACAGAAATAAAAAAAGCAAAGAAAAACCGTTAATGGTGTCACAAAGAAAGAGAAGGGAGAGATATAACTGTGGAAATCAAACCAAAGCTAGCATACAGAGCTGCAGTTTCAATCAAAAAAGAAAGAAAAAAAATAGAGAGCTGCAGAAGCAGAAGTGAATTGCATGTGGAGGGCAGCTCATCGGCTCCTAAAAAGAAAAGGCATTCGGAGGAGGGAACAAACGGATTTTGTAGTCTCCCAAGGGATCTTCTCCTCCTTCCTTACAACCCATCATTATTCTTCTCCCAGTGAGCACCTCTCTCTCTCTCTCTCTCTCTCTCTTACAGGATACACCGTTACTTAATTACACCTTTAATTGTAACTAAACTAGTACTATTATGCATGTTGCTGCTCTTTACTAGATTGAGATCATGTATATTCTATCATCTGGTGTAAGACTTTTTTACTACAGAATTAAAGTAGCTACTGGCATGTTAGGGCAATTTAGATCCTACAACTACAACTTGGTTAATTTAATTGTGCAACACCCAATTTACTATTAACCAAAATTGAAGCCACCCACCTCATGAACAATAGTTATCCAAAACATGGATATTATCTTAATCTACTTTGGTTGTTGTTTGCTAATAGTTTTTTTGGGTTTGAATTATGACGATAATGCTGGTAGCTGTTGCTCATGGACAAATGTACTATATTGGAGGTCCACTGATAGGCCTGGTGGGCACCCATATGTATATAGGTGGTCAATTGTGAATTAATATGCACTCTCTAATATATTGTAATGGTACGTACTTATTAGTACAAGAAATTGTTTCTTGTAAAACTTGAGTAAGAGTATCCTATCACATCATGACAATTTGTATTTTGAATTTAGTTAACTTCAGTGGCGGAGTCGGAGTTTTATAACAATAGGGTCATAATTTTGGTACAAAAAAAAAACTTCATTGAATCATTTCGTCGAGCTTCTGGTGGGTACCCTTTGAGTTATGTTGCGTTCTTCTGAGGCCTATCAAGTGAGGTTTTTTTTTATCAAATGTTGTTGCACATCATAAGGTCGCATACAAGAAATAGAAAAAGATGACAAAAGAAAGAAAGAAGAAAATCTACAACTGTACATAAGAAGCCGCAGCTGTATATATGGGTCATACACAAATATATATATATATGTAAAAATATAATGGATGTATTAAGCTATTTACCTATGATCCCATACTCCGCCACTGATTAACACTATTATGATTTCTTTTAGTGTGAGAATTGCGCTAGTTAATAACCTTAACTAACCAAATTTGTTTCCTACAACAATGTGTAGGAATTATCATTTTATGTATCTTACATGTAAAAGTGATGTACAGTAATTAAACAAAAGAAACATTCACACAGTTGTGAGTGTGAGGGAAAACAAGATGACAGGAATGGAGACTGGTTTGAGTAGTCAAGGTAGGGATAGGTGGCGAGTGGGTCCCACTCACCCACACCAATTGTCACAGACCAGTGATGAGGCAGTGACCACACCCAGCAGGCCACAGCCCACCCCCACCACCATCGGACAACACAAGAGATTCCAGTTTGAAAGAACATGAAGGAAACCCAAAGCGCACTAAAGGCTTAAAGCTTAGAGAGAAAGAAGCCTCCTCCACCTGTTTCCATTTTAGAGAGAGAGAGAGAGAGAGAGAGAGAGAGAGGATTATGGGGACCAGCTGAGCATCAAATCCAAGCCAACTGTATCCATCACAGGCTGACCACCGTTGCAATTCATGCAATTTGCAGTCGACAGACAAAGATCTCACTCCCCATTTCCATCGTCTTGCAATGGATTTTCTCTCTATTTAGTTAATTTATAAAATCATTTATATGAGCACCTATTTCGATTGATGGTATGGCTCAAAAACTTAATTAGTGAAGAGACAAATATATAAGGGTTTTTTTTTTTTTTTGGTCGGAAAATATATAAGGATTTCGGGACTCAGAATTTTTTGAAACATATTCTAATACCATATTAGACAACCCTTACTAAAAAATGTACAACAACATGTATATATTAAGCTAACATCTCGACTTAAACCTCAAAAAAAAATGTTCCATATAATTCTAGGGCATATTAACTTTGGTTGCTTCGATTTTGTGCTGTTCATACACGGAAAGGGGTGCGGATCGAATCAGTACCCTCCTTTTGGAATTTAATTTTTTATCTTGAAATATACCATACATGGAATTTATAAATACAGATAATGATGTGGAAGGAAGAATGCGAATGGAGTCTTTCTAGAACTATATATTCCATTTGACGACTGCAGATATATATCCATCATGTACCTGCATCTGTACTGATATATTGTGTAATGCAACGATAATGTGGCCACTTTTTTACACAGAAGTAAGAAGATTAGGTCATCCTCATCGACATGGAGTCATGGACTCGTGTGGTACAATTACAAAAACACATGATGATGACCGACGACCCAAGTAGGGCTAGCTTGGGCATATTCTGCTGGGAGATCGATGACCTAATCACGTCACAATTCCATTTCCACTAACCGATAATACAGATGAGTGCCAAATTAATTAGTACTCAACTGCATGCAATTGCAGCATGTGATTCTATTTCTATATTGTATGCCATTTAAAGGTGCAGTAGTCAAACAACTCTCTCTGCTGCCTAATAAAGTGATTATGGGATTTAAAAAGTATTAAATTCCAATAAGACGTTGGTTTCAAGCATATAATCTCATTCAGCTCGGCTTTACGCATCAATCTGTGGATTTGATCTAATCTTTTACATCACATTCCCTTATTTTTGCTTCAATATGTGTCATTGATTTATATTATTAGAGAATTTTAATTATGAGACTTTTTTTTTGGGTAAGATGATATTCTTTCTTCTAATTTATTAGGGTATGAATTCCAAGTGGAATGTAAGGGAATGGATAAGCATGCTGATTTAGAGATTTAACCATAAAATCAATTGGCAAAATGGAAAATAGTCAAACTACTCATAAACTCATGCAAGGTTCATTCTTTCTCCGATGTGTTCATACTCTCAACATGCCCCCTCATGTATGGCGAATTTTTTAGCTTAACATATGGACACCACAAATCGGTGATGCGGAGCACATATGGCCGTTGGGCTTTACACATGAGACAACCTACTTTGATACCATGAAGGAAGTTGAGATTCCACCATATAAAACCAACTAGTAATATGAAGAATAACCTAACTACTTATAAGCACATGCAACTTCCATTCTTTCTACACATGAGATTCAAGCTGCAGAAACATGGAAAATTTTGGCCGAACTTACATGGCCTTTACTTGTAGGTCATTAGAGAATCTAATTAAATACCTTTTATTATAATGTCAACATGATATTGTTTAGGATTAAACTCAGCTGGAAGGACTAGCTAATTGCTATATAGAAAGTTTCAAGTGCCGCCGGTCCCGTGGGACCTGAGAGTTTTCGGGATTAATAAGGACAGTTATCTAATTGGATGTGCCCTTAAACCATTTTCTTTATTTTCTAATTTGTTGATGAGTGTGAGAGAGAGAGAGAGAGAGAGAGAGAGAGAGAGAGAGAGAGAGAGAGAGAGAGAGAGAAGAGAGAGAGAGAGAGTCCACATGTTGCATGTATGTTGGTAGACATGGACTAGGGCAGCGATGTTGATATATGGAGGTTTCTTCTATGTGAAAATGTATTTTAGTTGATGATTATACTTTATAGTATAACGTTGGATCAAAAAATTGTTAATTAATACCATAATGGTAGTGAGAACCGTCAATCGCTCATCCTTAACAAGTTGTCAACAGATCATTCTTTTCCTCTTATATATTATTATAGGAGAATGCACATAAATTAAAGAACATCGAGGGATTTGTAAATCACATATTATCATTCCTTCATAATTTTATATATGGTTTGGTAATCTTACATTGATATGATTACGTTGCTCTTAAACTCTTTTGTCCATTACCAACAGTACTGCTTAAGGAAAATCAACGACAAAACAAAAAACATTTATTTTGAGTGGGTATGATTAATCAAAACTATAACAATAATAATAGAGATGTGTTATTCCCACCTCCAATATCTTATCTTCACACCCACCTTTTTATGAATGTTTTAATTACAAATTTGTCCATTTGTAAAATGACTAATAAGGACCTTAGTTACCCTCTTTTGCATTACTTTTTTTTTTAATAGAAAAGAAAAAAGAAAAGTTTAGGCGTGATAACTCTCACGCTATGTTTACAAAATTTGTCTCCCTTGAACCCTAACTCATCCTTCCCATCTCCTTTCATTCAAAGAAAGTAAAATCATTCAGAGAAAACAAAAAGAATGAACTTAGAAGATGACGTTTTTAAGGAAGAAGTAGATGATTATGTTTCCGTTGAATTTGTAACATCTCACATTGCCCAGAGGAGTGGATCTTGTGAGCCTTATATGTATATTCTCATCTCTACCTAGTACGAGGCCTTTTGGAAGCTCATTAGCGTCGGGTTCCATCGGAACTCCGAAGTTAAGCGAGTTTGCACGAGAGCAATCCCATGATGGGTGACCCACTGGGAAGTTCTCGTGTGAATTCCCATAAACAAAACCGTGAGGGCGTGGTTGAGGCCCAAAGCGTACAATATCGTGCTACGGTGGAGTTGAGCCCGGGATGTGGTGGGGGCCTGGGTTGGGATGTGACAATTTGGTATCAGAGCCAATCCCTGACCTTATATGTATATTCTCATCTCTAATTATATATAGGGTTATTTTAGGAATAATAGTGGGTGGGGAAATAAGACAACGAAGTGGGTCTATGACACACCCCGACCTGGAATGTCCACTAGGACTCCGAATCAAGCTGTGTTGGCCGACACCTAGAAGGTGACGAAGCCATAAAGTGTGATGGTTTGGAAAATTGTGAATAAATTTAAACCTAAGAGTGCCTAAATACCAGAGTGCACTGGTGAACGGGAATGAACCCACTTCACACGTGATGTTAGAGTATAAGCAAGAACAGAAAAATGATATAAGAATCGTACCCTCGAAATAGTCTCCGATGCTAAGAATCGCCGTGAGTCTTTGGTGATAATAAAACTCAGCTAATAATACCTGGAGGGTGAAGACAAGATACGGGTGAGTGGCCATGTAAGTAAAATACTAATAGAAAACATATAACACATGTAATCCTTCGTTACAACACCTGTATAATTTCCAGAGAAATCATAATATACCACAACACAACATCTCATCAATAATATCAAATAATCATGCGATTAATAACTCATAATAGTACGCAAGTCGGAGTCACCTCTAGTGACCTATACGACATAATCGTATCTCATCAATCATGGCTAGCATATAAGTTGGAGTCACCTCTAGTGACCTATATGACATATTCATATCTCATCAATCATGGCTAGCATATAAGTCGGAGTCACCTCTAGTGACCTATACGACATATTCATATTTCATCACATATCTCATCAATCATGGCTAGCATATAAGTCGGAGTCACATCTAGTGACCTATATGACATAATCATATCTCATCACATATCTCATCAATCATGGCTAGCATATAAGTCGGAGTCACCTTTAGTGACCTATACGACATATTCATATCTCATCACATATCTCATCAATCATGGCTAACATATAAGTTGGAGTCACCTCTAATTACATATACGACATATTCATATCTTATCACATATCTTATCAATCATGACTAGCATATAAGTCGGAGTCACCTTTAGTAACCTATATGACATATTCATATCTTATCACATATCTCATCAATCATGGCTAGCATATAAGTCGGAATCACCTCTAATGACCTATATGACATATTCATATCTTATCACATATCTCATCAATCATGGCTAGCATATAAGTCGGAATCACCTCTAATGACCTATATGACATATTCATATCTTATCACATATCTCATCAATCATGGCTAGCATATAAGTCGGAATCACCTCTAATGACCTATACGACATATTCATATCTCATCACATATCTCATCAATCAATTAATACCGTATACTTGCTTGAATTTACTTAAACTTACCTGAACTTACCTGAATGTCCTATGTTCACCTTTGCACTTCAGAGCGCTCACAACAACACAATTATATATAATGCATCATATGCCAATTCATATTCGAATTATAGACTTATATGCATGGCATTCAAGGCATAATCTCATTTAAACATATTTCTGGGAAAATATCAAGTATATAAATATATACTGAAAACCAAAAGCCCACACACATTGCTCAATTCCTTAAACAAGGCTATGATCTCGATTATTTAATCTCATTTCTTATATGGTTGCATCTAACGTCTCGTTAGACTGCCTATGTACCCTAAACAGGGATCAAGCCATTTGTTGTTCGCAAAAATCATTTATAGTGATACGCATATGGATAAATCACGAAGAAATCTAACTCAACCATTTCATAGTATTTTATAACATATATATATATATATATATATGTCATGGCATAAATTTCTTAGTTTTATTTAAAAACATTATAAAATTATAAATCATAAAACATATGATGAGCAAGGAAAGATCCACTCACCTGGAGTCCGTGCTACAACTTCCTAGCATAACCATCGGAGAGTCCCGAGCGATCGACGCCTGCGGCCAATTATTAACCACATCTCAGAATCCTCATCACTAGAATACGTAATTCGCATAAAACACATCCTCAAGGACATTCTAAAATAGTTTGAGACCCATTGACCATAAGTCAATCGTCGATCAAAGATGTCAGGTCTACAACCCTGTATAACTCGATCCGGAAGATCAGCAAATTAGATTTTCAATCCGAAACTTCCAAAGATCCACATTATGCTTCTAGAATAACATACTAAAATTTTAT